ACAAATTTCGACTCGAAAGGAAGGAAGGAAGGTCACAGTATTCCAATGCAATGCACAATGCTACAGACAACGCGAGACAAGTGAAGAATTAAGATACTTCCAAACAACTACAAACAGTGACGGACGACATACCTAGTGTTGACATCAAAATCCTCATGGGAGACATGAATGCCAGGCAAACTGGGAGTAGATAATAAAGGAAGAGAAATCATCACAGATTGAGTAGCTCTGCCTCGGTGAAATAAAGTAGAACAGAGAATTATTCGCAGACATCAGTGCCTCTACTAATTTCGTGATCAGAGGCAGCATGTACAAACACAAATAAATACACATAGCGACATCGTATTCTCTAGAACGAGACACAACACAATTCAAATCGCTGATAATATCAACATCGTAGTGTTTATACTCACTTCTGATGCGCTTAGTAACGAGTAAATAGGATGGAGCATTTAAGAACTTGCTGTTAACTGCATATTGTCTCGAATAAATCGGATTTATGTCATTATAGTTGTAATTCCTGCAAGTTAGAAGGGACTGTAGTGATGAGCATGAAATGAAAATGTGCTCTTGAATCTTCTTGATAATCCACCTGAAACACATATGTACATATATATAGAAATTACTTTTTCTATAATTAATAATACTGGCATTTCTAGGAACTGTGTTGATGACGCCTCGCCATCGTTATGTTTCCCGATATTAAATTAGTTCGGAAAGTGATCTGCAAAGATCTTGGCGTCTACCACTGAAACGCAACAATGTGTGTAATTGAATGTACATGGCTGAAAGAGCAACCTAGAATTCCTGTTCACCTTATCGACTCAGTTCACATCTGAAAGTGATAGAATGAATTATACACATGTATTTCATCAGAAACCAGTGAACTGGCTGAATATTGATCATAGAAGGTTGTTGAGGCGCATTATTGTATACAGAACGGAGAAATATATGTGTTATTTCACGCAAACCAACTAACGATATTGAATGCTCAGTACAACTGTGCGAGTTGAATCGTGACTAGTAAAGATTATGAACACTCTACAAATGAGGTGATTCTTGCAATGCGTAATTGTTTACAGAATGAAGAAATTTTTGTGATATTTGAGGTCAACATCACGCGATATGTGTCTATTGTATAATTATTACTCTTTCTGATTATTTTACTTCAGAAATAATTCAATTACAACAATGGTGAGAATGAAAGCTCTGTGGCAAACTGTATTATTGGTAGAAATATCCAATTTCAGCATGATCAGCTCAAAGAACCCAAATGAATCGGTGGGACTTCAGATAGTGTGTCGAATCAATCGGTGAGATCAGTGGAAATCCATTATGGATAAGATTTTTTTGATAAATCGCACAGTGTTGTACAGTAATATTAACATGTATACACATGTATATAAATGAAGGAAAGAAGTTGTGTGAGTAACTTGATATGATTATGAGCAATAGTTTACGCTCATCATCAGTTAATATTAATGTACAACACTGTGTGATTTATCAAAATAAAATCTCATCCATAATGCAGTTATGTTCTACCATAATGCCCAAGTTTTATACTTATATCAATGAGATCAGGTCACTTTCTTGCACTACCATACTGATCCACATCACATGAGAGAGCTAAACTCAATCGAAATTCAAGTGCCTTGTATACTTTCATAGGTGTTATGCAGAAACGCGTCTCAACATTCATCGTGAAGTACATATTAGACTCCGATTGACATCTTCATTGTTAACACCATTCCACTGAATCTGTTCTTTAGATGGAAGATTAAGCAGATTTAGATGAAGTCATCTCATGGCTGCCAATAATGTGAGAGCGCAGACGATCCGGTATGAAGCAGATACCGCGATATTTCATAAATCTGGATGCCTTTACAAAGTACCAATACGTAAGTAACACCCGATCGATATGATCCTATGTTCGTTCGACGAATGTGTGCATCGTGACAGCATAAGATATTGCAAAAATCTAAAACTTTTTCAACTATATATTCAATACATCTCCAATGTTGAAATTACTGGATTTCGTTGGTCACAAATTGTGACGAAGAATGAGGATGCTCCAAATCTACACTCCTCGATTTACGCCTCCTCTGTGAAGCTTTGAAATATATATATGCAACTAATGTCTAACAAACAGCGCATTCGTGATGGGAAAGGACTGAGATGTTAGGAGTGTACACTGTGACCTCACTTCGAACAGACGATGGAGGACCTGCAATAACATCTCACATGCTTCACTAAGACGCTATTTGTGTTCCTAGAATGTATACTCTTGCAACAGGCGTAGATGCAAGCTAATGGTTCTCTTCGATAAGCGCAACACAAACAAACCAAGCAATCAGTGTATTCTAACTTCTCTTATTTGCCTGTCAGATCACCACTCCGAATGTATTTGTCATTATCCCTCATTTCTTCCGAAGCAGCACAACTGTAACTGGTTTTTCGATCTCATCAGTACTCACTTCTCTCCATAATGATTGTTGGTGATGTACAAGTAGTGGTTATCTATAATGCACAAAGTACATCATACCACTTAAGTTAAAATTGCGAGTTCAACACTGATATTCGTTTCCCGAAGGTGGTGAGGTAATCCATTCCCTCTCCTTCGAATGCGTTGAAGGATGATGTGATTGTCCACTAAACGCGAGGGTTGGTTGTGGGTAAAGTGGTCATAGGTACTGCAAATTCCAATTCTTTTTCGAAGTTTCATGTGCCCAAGTGGACTGACTGGCAATTTGATAGAAGTACTGGGAAAGAAAGTCTAGTGAGATATTCACCACTGTATATCACTACTAGTTATCTATCGAAAAACATGCCTAGTTCGCATAAATTTGCTCTGATGTTCGTTTACGATGTGATGTGGTGAGGGGAAATCAGTGTCTGAGTCTATTAAGCTGAATCGAGTGAGATGGCTGAGATGTGTCTTACATTCACCATGCCAGAGCATCACTCTTCGATACTTATCTCTCAGCTGAATTCGTATCAGGCTGGGAAAGAGTAAGGAGCAGTCAAATCACAATCTGTCTTCAGTTAGCGAATTCTGTAACTGTTCAATTCAGCCATGTGGGATGGTGTAGACTGTCTGATTGGGGTAGGGGAGAAAACGCATCCAACATTTATCAACTCATGAAAGCATCTAACTCTCATCATTCTTCTTCCGTCGACTTGCCTTAAAATCTTTCGACTTTCTGACACCTGCAGAGCACATTAACTACACAATATCTATAGACCCCGATCAGGAGCTGACAGCAGAAGATTATGCCCTAAATCCTCACAAATCCGGTCATTGATTTAACGTGGAATTTCAGTGGATACGATTGCACATGCGCAAAAATGATCAATGTGGATTTTTGTATACTACGAGAGACTATAGCTACTCTAGATTAAATCTGCAAATATTGCTAGCGAATCCAACAGCTGTAGTGTGAATTAAAGCAATTCCACAAAACCAAATCATCATGATGTGCATTAAGATAGATGTTTCTTCTGGGAAGAGTAATTCATCCACAATAATTTAAAAGCAACCCTTGAGACATTAAATCAGGTATGATATAAAATATTTGTAGCTCATGGGAATAGCGTTGATGTAGTTGTGTATACCATTAAGCTGAATGGTCTACTCGCGAAACTCTCATTGCCCAACCTAGCAGTTACTCCATCCTACTACTTAAATTGTCGAAGTGTGCTTCGAAATTTCCCCACTAGTTCATCAGTCACCGCTGCTGGCGACAGTGAATGACGTCATTGTTTGCTCTTCTCCGTTTTCACGCCCTTTAGTCTAGGAATTGATATCACACACACACACCGAGAAAATCACATCAGTCCGCTGGCTCTAATTCGACTGACTCAAAAGACTCAAAAGCGAAAGACGAAACCAACATCATCTACAAATTATGTTGCAGCGACTGAGATAAACACCACATTAGTCAAAGTGGACGCCCTGTCTGGCAGCACATCCACGAGCAAAATATAGCCGTTAGAAGACGCATTGATATTCGCCACCATATATCGCTGCATACAGTCAACCACGGACATCAATTTCGACTGGGACAACCAAATTTCAATTACTAGGCGAAGGAAACGCTAAGTACGCCAGAGAAGTCTAACAAGCCTGGTATTCAAGTGAATCGGCGAATAACAGTCACACTGATGTAGATAAATTTAACCAATCCATGAGAGGAAAATCTCATGCACAAAAAGTGAAACTTGAGGTAAAGGAAACAATCCATATGAATACAATTAGACTAGAGGGTGTGAACACACAGAAGAGCAACCAACCAATCACGACATTCGCGGTCACCATGACGCGTGACTGATAAACTCTTGGAGAAATTTCAAAGCTCACTTCAACAAATTGAAGTGTGCACTGATAAAGTAGCCTAGTAAGGCAGTGAAGGATTCACAAACAAAGCATGCAGCAAAGACAACTCAAGTACATCGAAAACATTTTACGACACAACTGCATCTTCACGGAATATTACAGTGTCCATATAATCTCTTTGGTGAAAACAACTCAATTCAAATGCCGCAGAGTCAGACTGAGACGGAGGAATGTGAATCAAATATTGTGTGCTTGAAGACTTCGCTTTCTTTTCTGAAACAGAGGAAACTGCCAAATTGAATGCACGAAGTTATGGAATGATTGAGTCACAAGAAAAAACTGATGACATTTTGTGTAGTACTGAAATGAAATAATATTTTCAAATGATGCCCAAATGTCACAAACTTCATAGGGACGCCATCGCAATAATTCTGCTTACTATTCGGATTAAAGTGTTTCTACAGATTGACGAATTTCATCGCACCTATCAGATTCCGCCGACATCATGAGGCGTTGTTTCACTCACCAATCACAACACTCACAGTCTTCCACAAATGAATGATGAAATCGTGATTATTGTAATCAACCAATCATCAGATTACAACAATAATTGTGACTGCTTTCTGTGGTATAAATACGGGAACGGAAAGTCAGTTATCGTAAGAAGATGGTCCACTTCGCATACAGCCACGTAGCTTTCGTCACTCTGTTGGCATTTGCAGCCATAAATTCAGGTAAGCATTTTTTCAAAAGATGGTATATTTGTGGCTTAATCTTTACGAAATGTTTGCTGTATTCATTAGAACTGTTGAATATTTCGCTATTCACTCTCACAGTTCATTCTCTCTGGTTGAGTTTTTTCTTCAGAATGGTCACTTTTGCATATGAATTCATCTCAATTTCATCTTGCTGGATAGATGGTGACCGGAAGTGTAATAGTACTCGTGAAGGCATCTGTCCTCTTAATTCTGGCTAAGAGACTATGTATATTAACAATTGTACAGTGACATGCTCTCTCGTTCTGATAGTGTTTCGGCTAAAATTTTCAAAGAATGTACAAATACACATTATGAGATGATGTGTTTCGGCACTGCAATGGCATACATAAAGCCCTCTAGAGAAGTTTGAAAAATTTCAAGTGGAGAAATTGTTCTGGTAATCTTCAGTTTTCTGAAACTTCTTCTTGCTTTAATAATTTTCGTTTACACTTGCTCATTTCAGTTCAAGGCGGATGGATGGATGTAACTGAAATTAAACAGAGGCTAGCGGAAACTGAATGTAAGAATGAATAACCTGCATATTATTTGAGGTTAACAATCTACTTGAGAATTGGTCTCGTCAAATATTTGAGAATAACGAAAGTCTCATAATGATCGTTGTAGCCATGGTCTTGCTGCACGAATCAAAAATTGATATAATATCGTTAAAGACAGTGTGTAGAATGACTGGATCGCTTGAAATTCCTTCATTCGTCTTCAATGAAACTATTTCCAATGTGTATTATCCATTTGCAATCAGTCATCTTGCGTCACATATAATGATTCATTCTAAATATTCTCGTCTCCTCACAGATGAAATACCCGGAGTCATTTCGGAGCTCAAAGCTGCAGAAGAGAGAGTACAAAATATTAAAGGTATATATAACAGAAAGCCTGATTGTTGATAATATTTTCACGCTGACGTAAATATGCTTCGAATTATTGTTTCGAAATTATTACTAGTGATGATATCAATCATGTCATCTAGTATGTAGCACATAGTGACATAACTAAAATACACGTCTCCACAAGCTGTAAACTTTCAACGCTTTCGCTTTTCTGTTTCTTAGCCAAGATTCTTAGTCAGAATTCAAGCTTACGAGGAGAATTAGAAAAGTGTAAGCAATCCATATCTTTTGAAATGATGGACAACCTATTTTAGATACGGACTGCCTGGAAACTGCATACAAATACAAGTGGGGAGAAACCACATTTAAACGTGAGTTCTCAAAACTTCTTTTCATTTAAAACCTAATTTTATTCGCGAAATTTATGCAGTACACACTGTGCTTCCACTTCATAAGTCAGAAGTCACTTTCTTGAAACACTCACAGTTGGTGATATGCTCTCTCATCGATCATTTCCATAATATACGTCTATTCGACTGCGGCCTGAAGAATCATAGCAAGCTTGCTAAATAAATTTTGATGAGAGCCGCTAAATATACCAATGTCTTTCTATCTTTCTTAGAGACCCCAAACTACCTTTACGGCTGTAAGCTAGATATTTTGAATTATTTCTATACTTATCTACCATCATACTTATTTCTCGTCAATGTTTTGTTCAACATTCTTCACCTGGCTTATATTCACGCGTTAACACCTCAACTATCGTTATTTCAATGATGCACTTTATTTGCTAACACCAAATAAAGGTGGGGCATTTCCTCATTCACTGATTAACATGAGGAAGTGATTGACGATAGATGTTCGACTGTTGTATTTCTCATTTCGAATAATCGTTGACAATCTGTCAAGTAGTAAACAAATTTTATTCGCCTCAATTGTGATTGTGTTTGCATTCAACCTGCATTATTATATTGAAAACAATAGACATGGATTGATATGTGTGAACTTAATATATTTACAGGGAATGACAGTAGATTTAGTGATACAATAAGTTGTTGCAAACAAGAAGCCTTTTTATATCGCCGTAAGTAACATTTTATTACGCTAATCGATCTGAATTATTTTGTCTGCGTGTAGTAACAATTTTCGAAATTTCACTTTCCATATAATGAGACTGTTTTTCTTCCCTTACTCACCCACAAATAGAAAAAATGGAGGTGTTCCCTGTAGACAAATGTCACGGAAATCTAGGTTCGGTGAATCAAGAAGGTATTCGTTTGTTCCTTTTGTACATTGATGATGAAATGAATAACATTTTTATATACACCTACAGTGAGGGTATATTTTCACATATCACAATACCTTCATCATGTTTTGAATTCATGAACATCCACCTCGTATTGCACGACAGTCTATGATGAGGACTCTCCAAAAGTCGAAAAATAATGTTTGGAGGGGGATGGACAATTTCAGTGGTGGTCTAGGATGTGGTCAGTCGTCTACAAGTGAAATTGTTCAGATGGTGTGAATATGAGTAGAAACACACACTGAAAGATAATCTGGTGAACGTGAAACTGAATGAGTACTGACATATTGACATGATGACTGCAGTTTGAACATGGTGCAAAGTTAACATCATGCAAGTGGATGAGTTTATTAAGTAGTGAAGTGTTCGAATCAGTATGCTGAACAGACTATTTTGCGTCATGTCATGTAATTTTGTTTTCCAATCTCATAATTTGAATCTGAGAAATCCACTCCGGAAGATACATTCTTTCATGAATTATTTCAGTTCTGCAGCAAATGCAAGCAGAAATCGAAGGCGTATTCTACCACAACTACTTGTTTAGTGTTCACATTTGTGAGTTCATTTTCTCAGTATAACTAATAGTCAGTGTCTATCTGATATTAGTTATCATACGAACGCAGTGATAGACAACAATCCCTTTCATTAGTCAATTCATATATTTCCCAATATGCTTTATCATTTCTAGTTTACAAGAAACTTTACACAACCCAGTTGAAGATGTTGAAAGGTGAGATATATTTTGCATCAGCTTCCACTCTCAGTCATACAAAAATGACACGCGAGGATAATGTCTGTTAATGGAGTGCAGGTTAGAATCTCCAAGACACGAAATGCGAGACAGTCTGGATGGAGGATGTTCAGTGGGCAAAGTTGATATTCACTACGACAGCTAGATAATATTTTTCACTGTCGACTATTCTCCTATCATACAGCACAAATATAGGTCAATGAGTGTGTGGCTCGAATCGCAATCTCGAATACGCCTGTTTAATCGCACGATGAAAGCACCATCAGTGGCGTTGTAAGTTACCGTGCGGACATCTGCCGATGAATAATCTCGTGACAGTTCTAAATAGACGGTGTCATGAATGTATGAGAATGCACATGCACTATTCATAGGCGTCGCTGAGGCATATGCAAGTTAGCCAGCGAAATCCACACGATTCATAGTGAATTGTTGAAAGAGAGCAGCTCATGTACTCAAACAAATAATAAGAATTGAAATTATCATTCACTGAAAATATTCCAAATTCTCGGATTGTATGAATAAGCACACAGTTCACCGGCAATCATCCTTCTCTCCAGTATACGTGTTTCTTGATTATTTCACCATTAATATTTCATCCAACAATACTGCTAACTGATTTTATTCTCATTCAGAAAATTGAAGAGAGAAGAACCAGGATGTATACCAAAGTCGGACGTCTCCTGAATACATGTAGATTGTAGAAGCTTTCGTAAATATTTCATTTTCAAATAAGTAAATTAAATAAATCAATTATCTGCTACACCGCTATTTCTTCATGAATTGAAACTTTTATTGAACTGCTGGTTGTGATCGGGTGTGGTTAATATTCGGATTTGCGGTTGAAGACTTTGTGGGTGGCTGTCGTCGTCAGGAATGTGGTAATGTGACAGTGGTCATAAGGTGGCTGTTAGGAGACTGAGTCTCTTCAGTAGAGTGTGCGTCAGACATATACGCGTAACCGACCTCAATGGGACTACAATTGGGTCGATGTCTTTCTGTGATTAATCATGGATAACACGCACCATATGGACCAAGGGCACGTGAAACAAGTTCCTACACGATTTGCAATCGAAATAGTTTCAGTGACACATGTTAGTCATTAATTCCAGTATCTAACATAGTTAAAACAGTAATGCTCCTCACCACTGATAGCAAACACATACATCTGAATAAAGACACGCCGGATAATATCAAGATACGCTGAAATGCATGTAGAATTAACATCCATAACGAAAAGTATGCGTGTAAACAGAAGAAACCGTTTCTTGCATCCCACTGTCTGGCTATTTGAAAGTGACTCGAGCGACTCCCAGTAACAAAGTTCTACAAAGGCAGCCAGAAGTTTTCTGTTAGTCACAAAATATAAATCGATGCTTTCAACACCAACAATAATAACACCGAAAACTCAAAATCACCTGATCAGTGTGGAAAAGCAGCTATATAGGCAAGAAATATTTCAGGTACAAAAGAAGAAGTGTAGGGCAGAATTAGATAACCGAAATTCAACCACGCGGAGGACGTGATAATCAGGTAGAATATTCACAAAACACCGTGCCATCCACACTCCCTTCACAAGAATCACACACCAACAGTTCCTGAATGTAGTCCAGGGTCAGAATCACCACGATCCATTCAAACGAAATTACACAGTAAAACAACACATTATCAGTGTATCGTACAACCACTAATAGAAGCATTGAGATTAGAGATCTCACAGGGAGAAAGACAAATAATAGGCATGAAGTGAACACATAACATGCGAGTGTAAGATCAATGATGCGTCGTTATATGGGAGGAAAGAGGATGATGACTGCTAAGTTAGTTGAAATATCCAAATAAGGATAATTATCGCAACTAGATTGTTCACGAGGGAACTTCTGAACAACTACTCCGTCACACTGTAGCCTTATGCATTCGTTACAAATTCAATGAATAGCCTGTGGAGAATATAAGGGACTGAGAAATCAATCACTTTCGAATAGAAACGTAAAGGTTGATAAACGTGCAGTTGAGGAATCACACCATCCTTGAGTGAGTTACCGAATAGTTAGTGCAGGAAACGCCAGAATGGGGTTCGAAGGGAATCGTTAATTCTGACCTGTATTTTTTCAGTTCCCAAAATGTATTCCAAGTAGAATATCCTATCCTTGACATAGAAAACGGCATTTCTGTATTCTGTATATCACATATAAATCAGTTGCTTTGCAAACTCAGCCAAGTGTTGAATGATTAGTATTTCGGGATTCAGGTGAGGTTATTCAAATTGACGGAAATTTCCAGCATCGGAAACATTACGCATTTCTGATGCCAGTGTTTCATCTTTCTTCCTCTGCACATCACATTATCACAATATTTAACGAATTGACTGATCAAGCCATCAACTAGTTTGATACCATGTGTAATGCATCTCACATCATACAGTCCTTATTGGATGATCCACAGACGGATATCGAATAGGAGAGCCTGAAACATAAGACGATGGAAAGTGAGGTATGCTTGTGTATACGAGACACTGTAGCCTCCAGTGACATCAGTTCCATTGTGCATACCACGTCAGGTGAATCAGCAGGATGATATGAATAACTGGTTACTCATATTCACTAACACCTTCATCTGTGTATATCTGTGAGTCACCTTGACATGCTGTAGAAGTTCCGATGAAGATGTTGGAATTATCTTAAGATGACGTGGAATTGTCCTCCCAGTCACGAAATATTCTTGAACACTAACAGGGATCATTTCATCACCTTTGGGAATAAGTGATTATATTAGCCGAGGCAAGAATTATTCATGACAGTTAAAATGCCAAAAACACACATACTCCATGGACGTTCACTGTAATCTCAATTAATGCAAGATATCATTAGATATTGTGAAGTGATTATTCAGTTTTGAAGACTTATGAGAACGTTGCCGTGTCCGCACTCTTGTTCACACAGTTTTGCCAGTTTCTCTTATCTACGTTAGAGAAATGCATTTGGACAAGACAAGAATCAGAGGCATTCTAAGCAACCGATTACAAACACGAAGGATTATTGTGAATGTAGAGTGTGGGTTTAGCTGGTTCCGAATCATCATACTGAAATAGTCTGCGGACTAATACGGTTTGTTGACAGAATTCGTACAAAGCAGACTCGCACCATAGGAGTATGATGGGAACCGGTTGAGGTGCTCCGAATAGGTGGAATCTTGTGATTACTGTAACCGGGAATGAATGCACTCTGCGGATTCTGCAACAGATCACTTCAGACTACTTGTTTTCGCACAGGTGTACCTGTCAACATGGATTCAATCCAGGCAGTCTGAAATATCACCATTCATGCAATGAAATTCCCGCTACACGCGTTGGAGAAGCTTCATGACAGATATCAAAGTAGCGTCACCAATATTTGATCGAATTCACATTACACATACTCCATTGTGTGTAGACTAGTACTTTGAATGTGTTTGTTACATCACGAAAACTTGATGTCGGCGGCCTGCTTGAACATAGGGCTACCAAAAATTCCACCTTACAACATTTTGCAAAATTGCTTTGGTTTGCTCTTTTAATTTTGTTTTAATTTATCAATTATGTGTCCTAATCGTATTATATATAATCGCGCATTTTTAAAATCATTACAACCTACTGCGTTGTGTCATCCACAAAAATTGAGAAAAAAGCATCACTGTGGATGGCAGCGTGCACTGAAACGTACACAAATTAATCAAATGACTGTTCCTGAACTCGTTAGCACTAATTGTAGATCCCTGTCCAACAAAATGGATTATCTTCAATCCCTAATGTATTCTAATGTTTATCGAAATGCTGGCGTTTTAGCAATACAAGAGACTTGGCTGCACCAGCATTATGATGATAATCTAGTTTCAATAAATGGATATAAAGTTTTTCGCCAAGATAGAAAAAGTTCTAAGAAAAAATGTGGAGGAGGGGTAGCCACTTATATAAACACAAGTTGGTCTAAATCAAATCACGTTTGCTTCAATTATTCTAATGACAATATAGACTGCATAACCGTCAGGTGTCGCCCAAAACACTTAAGTAAATATTCTTATATATACATAAAAATATTTACATAACACCCAATTGTAGCCTTTCAAATATAGTTATGTTTGCAGATGAATTTACTGAATTCGCTGCTCCTGCATTCGGAAACTCGTTGTCTATAGTCTGTGGTGATTTTAATTCATGTGATCACAGCTTTCTTACTTCACTTGGTCATGAGAATCTAGTCAAGTTTAATACACGTCTGGACAAATCACTAGACCTGGTTTTCATAAACGACCGTGATGTATATGAAACCCGAAGGAGAGCTCCTTTGCTAAACTCTGACCACTGCATTATTCGTATTTTACCGAAAGTGTACGGCAAGTTACAACAAAAATTGTTTAGTCATTTAACAAAGAAGATACATGAACGTTCCTATTCCCATGACAACATCCTAGCACTAAGAAGCATGTTGTATGATACCAACTGGGAACTATTTACTGACGATAAGTTGGATGCTACTGTCTCTAATATAACCGATTATCTGAAGTTTTGTTTGGATATTTGCTGTCCATATGAAACACTGTTTTCGAGATTCGACAGAATCTCTTCTTTGCAGCTGAAAAAACTTAGAAGACAAAAAGAGAAGTTGTATAAGAATTGTGATAATACTGGTGTCCGTAAAATAAACACCCTTATAAAAATTGAAATAGAAAGGTTGAACAGACTATATAATGAAAAATTTTTATCATGTAAAAATCCTCCAAACATTTGGAAACTTTTCAATAAACTAACAAGTAAGAAACAAATGTCTGTTGATGCTTATTCTGATGTCAATGCTTTAAACAAATCACTTATCATGAAACAAATTAATATGGTTGTGCCTCATGTACCTAGTCAAGAAAATGGACATTTTCAGGGTTTTAAAGAAAAGGATGTACTATTATGTTTGAAATCTTTAAATCCAACACACAGCCTTGGTCCAGATGGTGTACCAGGCATTCTTCTTCAAAAGTGTGCAGACATCTTGTGTCATCCTCTTACTCAAATCTTTAATGCATCATTTAACAAGGAAACGGTACCTGCTGACTGGAAAGAAATCAAGGTTGTACCTGTACAGAAATCATCTTCTGGAGCAGGTATAAAGTTTAGACCGGTCGCTATAACATCTCCTTTTTTGAAAACAATGGAGAAACTTCTTTTGAATATTCTTAAACCTTCTTTAAAAGCTTTTAATGACCCTAAGCAGTTTGCTTATAAGTGTGGAAGAAGTACATCAGATGCAGCCATTGTACTACACCACAGTATTGTTTCCTGCCTTGATAAGGGTGCTAAGTTCGTTCGAACAGCTTTTTTAGACTATACTGCAGCTTTCGACTCTGTTCCTAGGACACTTTTATTAGGAAAGATGATTTCAGCACAAACAGAGTCCTGGGCAACTAGATGGCTGTCTTCTTATTTTAAGGATAGGAAACAGCATACTGTTTTGGCTGGAAAGCGCTCCACTTCTCAGCTAACTGAAAGTGGTGTGCCTCAAGGTGCAGTACTTTCTCCATTTATTTTCTCCTTCTTTTTGCATGACCTTCCGAACTCACCCAAAGTTAACTTCATTAAGTATGCCGATGATCTAACCGTTTCTGTCCCCGTAGTTT